CCAGTGCCCACTGCCTCGAAGTCATTTATCTTAATTTAAAAAAAATTGCTTTGTAGAGGCTCTTAAAGGTACTCATTTTTCAGTTTAATCACTTGGGTGGAATTTCATTTAGTTTAAATTTTTGGGGAACCACATGGTGTAGGTTGCTTTGTACAGCTTAAAGATGCGAAAACTGAAAGGCATAATCGTTTGGATGAACTCACTCAGAGCCAATCATTAAAAGACAACCCTAGTGCTTTTATGCGACATCGGAATATTCCGATTGTTTTTCCTCTCTACCAGGAAGCGCAGAATATTTTGGCTCTACAACAAGTGCAAACACCACTAAAAGGTGGTGATAACACGGAGCTTTCCACTAGCGTGGTAAACATCGTTGGCGCAACGCCACAAGCTCGTCATCTGCCCACTCCTAACATTCTGCTGCCAAATCAGCTTGCCGCCAACACGCCATTCCGCACACCTCAGGTTGGAGGTCAGTTCTTTGTCCTGCCTTTTATCCCTCCCCACTTATATAATAATGCTTTTCTCGTGGTATGTGATATCTCTTAGGCATCTACTTCAATTCGCTTTTGTTAATTCTGCGCACTTTGTTCTCTTATTTTTTATTTACAAAGGTACTCATTACCTTCAAAATTCTGTCTCTGTGATTATTTATCCCCTCCTCCATTTCGACTTTAACACTCCATGATTGCTCTCTTCGTGCTTCCAAAGTTTGAGTATTTTTAGTCACACCAGGTGGACCAAATGATGTGACAAATCAGACGCCGCGTCGAGACTATCTTAACATCAACGAAACGGACAGCATGGAAGTGCGTTTGCAATTATATTTGTCTCAAGCCCTCGACGATGCATAAATAATGCTACCGTATTATTTATCCTTTTCGTCACGAGAAATTAATATTTTTTAGGGTCCACAGACTATGAGCGCAATCAGTCTGCAAAAGAAGCTTGCACGCTTGCCGCAACCAAAAAACAACTTCGAGATCAGTATGCCTGATGAGGCGGAGCTTGATGCAGCGGAGCAGGCAGAGCCCAGCGATTCCACAGCAGAGGGTACTTCTGCTCACGTAGCGGATCAGGCGGAAGTCGATCGGGAGGCGGCAGAGGCACGCAAAGCTGCCGCTGACGCCGCATGGGCAAAGCGTAGTCAGGCACTGCGACGCGGTCTCCCGCGCCCCACTGCCGTTAATAACGCGGTGCTCAGACCACCTCCCACTCCAGCGGAGGAGGTGTCTCTCACAGATCTACAGAAGGTGAGTGTATTTCTGCATCTATCTTTAAGCTCGGCTTCTGTCATTGTCACTTATTTGCTGTTTCTTGAATTTGAAACTGTGAAATATGGCTCTGCAAGCAGCTTTTTTTTGGTTTTGAAACTATGCGTCCTGCATAAATCATTTGTAACGACTCGCATCAATTTTTGAAAAAACGGAATTGTCGGACTTTGACAGAGTTGATTTTAATGAAAAGCCTATCAACAGCATCCTCACTACTTTCTCTTTGATGTCCTTAGGCCGAAGAACT